TCAAGGGTGTGAAAGCCCTTGTGATGAGTTCACAAACCTAGTCTCAAGGAATCTCACACATTAGACATAGATTTAATGTTTACTAAGTAAAGGAATCCCACCTTACTTAGATAAACAAAAACAAAGCCTAAGCTTTAGAGAGAAAACTCTTTCTTTCTGTTTTTCCAAAAATCTGTATATATTTTTACAATGACAAGTGATGGAGCTTTTATAGGCTCATTTACAAGACTTTCAAGGTCAAAGAAATTAATTACAAGAGAAAATTATGCACAATAAAAAGAGAAAAAAAATCAGCTAAATTAAACTTATGGTCTTCTTCCAACAATTCAGCCATCAGATTTAATGGAGATTAATTCTTATATCTAGACAACTTCTTGATATATCCATGATCTGATTTTCTTCTAGATACTTCTTGAGATTCTGGGCTTGATTTGAATTGGATCATTTGTTAATAGACCATTATCATGGTTGCATCATTCTCTCCTTCTTCAAAAGGTTTTGTCCTCAAAACCATTTAACCTTGGTAATGTTGTGGCTTTGGTTTTGACATTTTTTTTTTGAATTAAGTAAACAGAGTGAAATAATTATAACAAAACTTTTTTTTTTGAAGGATGAAGACAGTTTTTGGTTTTTTTTAGGAGAATTTAAAAATACTTGAAAAAATTACTTTTGTTTTTTTTTTTTGAATTTATAAAAACGAAACAAAGTGAAAACAATTTCTTTTTGAATTTTTTTGATTTTTTTTAAACGAAATAAAGTAAATAAACTGCAAATTTTTTTTTAATTTTTAAATGAAAAACATTCAGAAAACAAATCAAAACAATTTTGTGAATTTAAGTTTATTTGTTTTTTAATAAAACAAAAGAAAATGAAAATAATAGAGATTGGAAGAACACCAAAAATGATACAAGCACCAATCTATCAAGGGCTTATATGATTCAGATGAACAAATCTTCAAACCTCTGATAGATAGATAAATCTGATTGGATGGATACAACCTGATGGATAGGAGCTTTTAGCTCTGATACCAAAATGATACAAGCACAGAACTGTCAATGGCTTATATGACTTTGGATGAATAGATCTTCAAGCAGCGGATTGATAGAACAATGATGGTGTATCGAAGAACCCCACTCAAGGGTGTGAAAGCCTTTGTGATGAGTTCACAAACCTAGTCTCAAGGAATCTCATACATGAGACATAGATTTAATGTTTACTAAGTAAAGGAATCCCACCTTACTTAGATAAACAAAAACAAAGCCTAAGCTTTAGAGAGAAAACTCTTTCTTTCTGTTTTTCCAAAAATCTGTATATAATTTTATAATGACAAGTGATGAGCTTTTATAGGCTCATTTACAAGACTTTTCAAGGTCAAAGAAATTAATTACAAGAGAAAATTATGCACAATAAAAAGAGGAAAAAAATCAGCTAAATTAAACTTATGGTCTTCTTCCACCAATTCAGCCATCAGATTTAATGGAGATTAATTATTGTATTTAGACAACTTCTTGATATATCCATGATCTGATTTTCTTCTAGATACTTCTTGAGATTATGGGCTTGATTTGAATTAGATCATTTGTTAATAGACCATTATCATGGTTGCATCAAAACACCTTTGTTATATCACATTTTACGTGGATTAAACGTCATCATTGACGTGATAAAAGCCTTCTCTTTCTTCGTTTTAAATCAATCAAATTAAAACAAATAAGCAGATTTCATTAAACGACATTCTCATTTAATATATAGGATACGTTCGATATTAGAGCTCAATGTTCCTAGCTAACCCAACTGTTATATATAATGATATCGAGGACTAAACATATGCTATGTGACCCATTGCGACATTTATTTAGAATTATCTATGTGCAAAGGACACTAAAATATGGACTAGGGTCCAATTAACAAAATAACACCGAAGATTTATGTTTTTGTTATGGTTAAAGAAAACACCGAACCAACCCACTTATTAAATTTTGACAAAGATCTAGATTTCTTGCCATTTAGATTGTTTTGTGGAACAATTAGATTAAATGGACATGGGAACTATATGTAGCATCCACATCGTGCGTTCCAATTTTTCTTTTTTATGTCACCACTCTAATATGGAACCAGTCCCTATGGATTTTCGCCTTAAACGACGATAGTAACACAGTTTTTTCTTATCATTATTGTCTTTTAGAGTCACCTGGTTATCTGCAAGAAAACTCTATCTTCAATAAAGATAACGAAAATATCATATCAATGGGACCAGAATGATAGAAAAATGAGCGAAGCATGTCTTGTGATGGTTATGGGTTATGCTCGACACTTAAATGTTTTTGCAGACAAGAAGAGAGTGTATTTTGTTTGCTCACTACTTAACAAAAGATGGCAGTGTTTTTTGCCCTGCAACACGAGACAGCCACCACTTCCCCATCATTTTACGATAATGCCCCTTGTCTCTTTCCCTAATTGGAACTTTTTTGTCATACCAAAAAAGGATATATTTTTTTACGATATTTTCTGGAAAAAAAATAGAGAAAAATATAAAACTCAACCCTTCAAGTCTAAAATTTGAAATACTAAAGATATTTTTAATAATACACTATATGTTTCATATTTTTTTATAAAAAAATTATGCTATGGTTGCAATAAGCAAGCTCCTGTAATTGAATGTTGTTTTCTGCATAATATTATTTGATGATACATCACAAAAGCTACAGTTGCAATATACATCATTCAGCATATTTGCAATGTTTAAATCATGAGGAAGTTCGTATCTTGTTTGACTTAGAAAACTCAAGAAGAAGCGTGAGTATATAAGAAGCATAAATCAACCAAGAAATTAGCCCATCTCATTCTTTCTACAGTGTTCCGCCATGGTTGGAGCCAAAGTGAAGCTAGTCATATGAACGTAGGTACATGATCGAGATTAAATACCCTTCAAGAAAACAATAATGTACTCTCACCAATTTCTCAATGAAAATTTGAGAAAATATCACCAACCATTGTCCCACTAATTTTTAATAGATTTAAAGATTGGTCTGAAATTTTTCATATGTCAGAAACCGGTAGAAGATCTCCGATTAATTTTTTACCCAAGAATTAATGTTGGTAATCTGGTGGAAAATCCGTCAAGGTACAGTGGGAATTTTGTTATCGTTACAATCAGTCGGCTAGGTCCGAATAATATAATTTGATATCATTATAATCATTCATGAACGATATAGAGCCATTTCAATTTCACTAAGAAATTGGTGGGAGTTTTTCTAGCCTTGTATGCATATAAATTAGTCATCCCTTTATATATTCTTCATTAAAAAAAACGCCCAAGTAACTTACAAATTCCATAATGCCGCCAAGTACCTGGTTACTTGCGAATGAGCAAGTGACAGTGAGCATGGATGTATAATAATCGTTGTGATTCAAGTACCCGGTTACTTGCAAATGAGTTCGGGAAAGAATTCAAGGAATTCATGCTATTTGCCACACAATAAAGAAATGCGTATATAAGTGTGCAAGTCCTTGTAGGTAGAATGTTCTGTCTATCTCATACGTATACTTGTGATAATAATAAATTTATTTATCAGGTAAATAAGTGTGCAAGTCCTTGTATCAACGAGGGTAAGGGCAAATTATAAAGTGACTATGATGAATTTATTTAGTGAATGTTGATAGTAGTAGTGAATATTTTGTATGGTTAGAAGAATCTATACTACCAGTAGAAAACATAGGTACGATTCATATGTAAAAGATGTTTTACATCAGTTTATGAAAGATGACAATAGAATAAATGAACCAAATTTAGAAGTGAATAGATTTTTTATATGTTAGACGCAACTAAATCTATGGTAGTTATAGTGAATGAAACAGGATTTGGAAAGCATACCTTATAAGATAGGGTATGGAGCAACTCAATATATTTCCCCAATCTTAAACAAACTGATCCTTTAATATCCTCTTTACCAAAATCTCCCAAACCTTCATCGTAGAGAAGTATTCTCAGTCAAAACTTAATTAATATCATTTTATCAAATTCAGAAAAATCGCTCAATGGCTATAACATATGTCTCATTTTTTAGCTTTAAATAAATCATCTTATTTATCAGAAAAATCTAGAAGAAGACTCATTGTAAAAGCAACTAGTTACATGAGTAAAAGAAACACACACAAAAAAAAGACAAATCCTCTCATCGTAAGAGGTAACAACACCCTGATATTAGCAGTTGAACTATTGTGACCGACACAACCGAAAGATTTCAATATGATGAATCCAAACTTTTTTCTTGTTTTCTGTTAATCCAGACAAAAGGTAAAAGATGTTGTGTTAGAAGTAGGCACGAGCGTTTTTGTTGTTAAAGATAGTGTGTATTTTAAAATAAATAACGTGATCCTCTTTTTGTCGTCTATCAACATGGTACTTTCGACCAATTATATCGTTAATGAATGATGATCATGGTTTAGCAAGAAAAGCCAAAACGAATAATTATTCAAAAAAAAAAAAGATAAACTAATTTATCGGAGTTGAAAGACTTTATTTTGGGATTGAAGAATTAGAGTTCGATTTTATTTCAAAGGATTTTAACTGTGGTAGATAATTGTAAACAATTTAAATAACAAGAATATTTTGATGTGGAATTTCCGGTTTTTAAAAGCAAAAGCTAGAACGATGTAACGATGTTATATATATAGTTCCTTATCTCATCTTCTTTTTTTATATAATGGAATTCCTAGTGTCATTTTCCCTTGGTGTACACACGATATTTTAAGTCAAAGCGAAAAACAAAAAAATCCCACTTCGATAAAGATTAGAAAATAAAATAATTTCCAAGTTAAAAACACCACATGTCAAGACGACATCAATTCTTTGCAAGCATAAATAGAGAGCTCTATCCTCCAAAAAGCCCAACCAATTCCACATTAAATTTTTTTAGTTCCTCTTTGCTTCTTTTATCATTTGCATAAATCATTTTGCCTCCAAAAGACTTAAAAGCTCTGGGCTGTGTCTCATTGTCTCTTTATCTCTATTCCGCACAAAACCATTTTACTCTTCTCTAAAACCATGTGTAATTTAAAACCATCTACTTCTTCTTCCTTATTATCTTCCAAAGACAAAACCCATTTCTCAAAACTCGAAACCAGTGATTCAAACCATCCTCATTATTCCGAATTCAGCGATAACGATTCTCTAGACTTTAAAAGATGGCCAACTTTTCTCGAGGTAACTTTATATATATATATATATATATATATATATCGAACAAAAAGTAAATATATACACAAGAACCGAATTCTTGGTTAAACTAGTCCATACGTATTATATAAATAGTATAAGATATATCTATATAAACGAAAAGTTTCAAAATTATCTATTCCTGTGACCAAACAAAAACGAAAACAAAAAAAAAAGCTCTATTCCCGGTTTGGGTATTTATTTTCAACTTTTGTAAAGGTTTTCATTTGATTAATAAAATAAATACTAAACATCAAAAAAAAAAAAAGAACAAAAGTTTTGGTTGGTAAAATATCTATAGACGTTGACGGTTCTTGTTCTTGATAATTGGCGGCAGGGCTTAGAGGAAGTGAAGGCAATCGGAAGAATTTCTGGGCCGACGATGATGACCGGGCTTCTTATGTACTCAAGAGCAATGATCTCGATGTTGTTCCTCGGCTACCTCGGGGAGCTTGAGTTAGCCGGAGGATCTCTCTCCATCGGCTTTGCCAATATCACCGGCTACTCGGTCATCTCGGGCTTGTCTATGGGGATGGAACCAATCTGCGGCCAAGCCTACGGAGCTAGGCAAATGAAGCTTTTAGGACTAACCCTTCAAAGAACCGTCCTCCTCCTTCTCTCTTGCTCTGTCCCGATCTCTTTCTCTTGGCTTAACATGAGGCAAATCCTCTTATGGTGCGGCCAAGACGAAGAAATTTCCTCCGTTGCTCAAAAGTTCCTTCTTTTCGCCATCCCTGACCTCTTCCTCCTCTCTCTGCTTCACCCTCTTCGCGTTTATCTTCGAACACAAAACATTACATTGCCCGTGACTTACTCCACGGCCGTATCTGTTCTCCTTCATGTTCCTTTGAACTTTCTCCTAGTTGTGAAGCTCGAGATGGGAGTCGCCGGAGTCGCTGTAGCTATGGTCTTGACCAATCTCAACCTTGTAGTCCTCTTATCTTCTTTTGTGTATTTCACAAGCGTGCATAGTGATACGTGGGTCCCACTTACTGTTGACGCTCTTAAAGGTTGGTCGTCTTTGCTCTCACTTGCCATACCCACCTGTGTATCTGTTTGTTTGGAATGGTGGTGGTACGAGTTCATGATCATTTTGTGTGGACTTTTGGCTAACCCAAGAGCTACTGTTGCATCCATGGGAATCTTGATTCAAACAACGGCTTTGGTCTACGTCTTTCCTTCCTCTCTCAGCCTCGGTGTTTCCACTAGAATTAGCAATGAGCTTGGAGCTAAACGTCCCGCGAAAGCTCGCGTATCGATGATCATTTCACTCTTCTGCGCGACGGCCTTAGGCCTAATGGCAATGACGTTCACCTTTCTAGTTAGACACCAATGGGGGCGCTTGTTTACCACGGATGTAGATATTCTTGAGCTGACTTCAATTGCATTGCCCATCGCTGGTCTATGTGAACTCGGGAACTGCCCTCAAACGACCGGTTGTGGGGTGTTGAGAGGTTGTGCAAGACCAACACTTGGTGCCAACATAAACTTGGGTTCGTTTTACTTTGCGGGCATGCCGGTGGCTATTTTATTAGGGTTTGTATTCAAATTAGGGTTTCCAGGTCTCTGGCTCGGGTTACTTGCGGCTCAAGTAACATGTGCTTCTCTCATGTTGTGTGCACTCTTGAGAACAGATTGGGCTGTCCAAGCTGAGAGAGCTGAAGAACTGACTTCACAAACTCCAGGAAAAACTCCTCCCCTCCTTCCAATCGCCAGGACTGGACCTGGTACAGATGATACAATGAGAACCATGTTGGTTTAGATTGATAGCTATTCTTTGGAGTCATTTGCCTTCAACGCTGACGTACATATGTTCTTGTCAAAACATCATTTTTTGGAGTTTATATTTCTCCTTAATTTTTACTTTTTAATTCAATAACGAGAGTTTGGTTTGTGGGCTTTGTTGGTGTTTGTGTTATCTATGGTTTGTATGGATGTAATAGCTTTAGCTTTGACTTTAGCAGTTTGTACTATATTTGTTTCCGTTTGTAATAACTTATTTTGGTTTGATTATATATTTTAATCTCTGTCCATTTTCTAGGACAAGATAATATTGTTTGTTGAACTAAGAATAAATTTAAAATGAAAAAAAAAAAACTCCACTACAGCTAATAACTAAATACAGCCACTGAAATCTAGAGGAAGACAATACTAATATTTGTTGGCATCGATCAGCACTATTAGCGAGGGACAAATCAGAATAACTTCGAATAAAGTAAAAATCTAGAATTTTTTCCATAAAAGATTAGTTTTTTTTTTTTTTTGTGGAAACTTTGGTGATTTAACAATCAGTTCTTTTCTTAAGGACAGGCAATGTGAATCTTTTATTTGAGAGCTTTTTGGTTCTTCCATGTTCCATAAAAGGAAATATATTCGCAGCCAGAAATGGAAAAAAATTACCTTTAAACTCTATCATATTCTTTGTCTTAAAGCCATTGAGATTCGATACGTTTAAATTTTAAATTGAGTTCACATATCTTTGATTTTGGTTGCTTCCTTTGAGCACAGAAAAGCATCTTTTTTTTTCTCCTTGACACAAAATACCCTTTTTTCTTTCATTTTTTTTTTGGCTGGGACCAGAACATGAATTTATAAGAACTTCACAGTAATATGGCCAAAGAATAAAACATTAATATGACAAGAAACTAAATGAAAACTGAGTGGAATTGATAATGCGTCAACGTGTCGACAATATGAATCACCTTTGATATTTCTTTCCGGCAAAAAAAAGAAAACGAAGTAATGCCTCAATTGAATTTCATTGGCTTGGTGAAAAATTCATTGACATTCATTGGACATCTCTAAAAAAGTTTGAATTTTATTGGATGTTGAATTTTGACGAAACAAAAGACACTTGTATTATATGTTTTGGACGTCCACCTTTTGTTTTTGTTTACACGTGAATAGTTTCTTTTTTTGTCTTTTTTTTTTCTGTAACATTTTTTGTCTTCTTTTTCGCTAAACACTATGCTGTCAATCATTTTGGTTCTAAAAAAAAACACTATGCTAACTAGCTATTTCGAAATTACAAAGATGATGAATATTTTAAGACAAAAGTCGAAGTAGAATACGCACATTTGTAACCATTTGTTTTGTTAAAGGGTAATTTATATTTTATTAGGTGTACATATTTAGTTTAAACTATATAGAAAACTATCCCTAAATCAATGAGGTGAAGATTAATCATGGATCTTATGACATTTTTTAGTGAAGAAATAAATCTTTGACACATAATTTCTTTCATTTAAAAAAAAAAAAAAAGAAAAAAAATAATAATAATAATTTCTTTCATTTGAAACCAGTCTTTGACAATAGCATCCATTTCTAGCAAAGTTTAAAATCAGAAGGACTCAACATTCTCTAGAAGGAATGCTATCCATAACAGCTACGTATGTTGGTTTAGTGACACATATTTTGTACCTCATAAATCCGAAAAGTGATATATCCACCTATATGCAGAATAAGTATTCAATAAAGATATATGGAGTGGGTACACCAATCACATGTTCTTACCGTCTTTGTTTGGATCAAACATTCAACTGTAGCCACATGCAGCATCACATACATATGTATATAATACATATTACATATATAGAGACAAGCGAATCGTAGACAAATTTGTGTTCAAATAAAATTCGAATTGAAAGATGCTAAGTCTATAAATGTCGCGTGTGGTAAAGCTCGAGTTTGGAGGAGAAAGAAGCTAAGAGCCGTAAAGCCTATCTTAGACAGGCAGGGTCCCCCACGCGGAGACATATAGTGTTTACCTTGATTTCTGGTAAATAATATTACCTTGACAATCCAATTTATCGTCTACTAACTTTTTCAGCATCATCCAATGTATCATCTTCTTTATTCTTGAAATATCTATCTTAATTTGTTATTTTAGGAAAGAATGATTTACGCCTTAGACGTTGATTAACAACGGTTTAGTCCAAACAATGTAGGCTGAAACTCAAAACTTTCATTCTTTTAAGATTTATGAAAAAAAAAAACATTAACCCTTTAGCGGAGCGATGAACCAAAGTTAGTGACGGGTCTCAAAAAAATATTGTATATCAGGCACAACAAATTCTTTAGTTTATATAAGTTTTATATAAGAATTATGCAATTTATGTACGCATATTTGATTCATTTTTATCTTGAAAAAATAAGAAACCAATATATATGCATATATAAATATTAAATAATCTCATTCCAACAAAATTTCCATCCTTTAAATTTTAAATCAAATATTTGGTATTCTTTATCGAAGTATAACCTTTTCATTTTTTTGAAAAAAAAATATAGTAGTTGTAATTTTACTTAAAAGCTATTTATCAATTAATGATAAATATATGATAAAGGTTCATTAGCTTGTTAGAAAATCCACAGAAAAGTGATTAAATTAAGGTGTAGAAAGATAAAAAATTTCAGAAAATTAAAAGACAAGAAATATAAAATAACCATGTGGCCACACGGTAAAAAATAGTTTTTATGGAGACATGTTAATCATCGAACCTGGGAATAGAGGGTCGGAATAGTTAACTTATAAAAAGTTATATAATTTTTTTTTTTGATGAAATCACGCAATATATATGAATAGGCTCATCAATGATTGTCACCTGAAAAATTTAATAACTGCTGTTAAAAGCTTTCTCATCTCTATATTAATATTTAAAAAGTTATTTTGTAAGATGTTATGACATTAGAAATTACAAAAAAATAATTGAAATAAGAAATGTTATAAGTTTTTTAAAATATTATTGAAAATAATTATTTAGTTTCTTAATTATTTAGTTTCTTAATTATTTATTTTCTTAATTGTTTATTATTGAAAACAATAAAATATTATTTATTTTTTAGTTTCTTATTTTTTAATATTATATATTTTAACTAATCAATCCATATTTCTTTAAAGAAAAAAATATATTCAAACTTTTAATATATTGTTTACTATAATTTATATATATATATATATCTGAATATATGTTGAAGATAAATTTGATCATTTGAATTTAGAATATCCAACACGAAAGACCACCTATTCCAGGGATCCTCGTATCTGACAGACCACGCTGTCAGAGACAAGAATGTTTTGAGTGGTCAAGAGGAAAAGATGTTACATTCTCTATTTCCTATGCCTAAACTCAGTAATTTGAAAAGGTCGAAATATAAGAAAGTATAACCCGCACAGGTATCCGGAGAAATAAGTCAGCCAACGAAACCATCTTGACAGCCCGGTCCTAGTATCAAGGGATCCAGGCCACATATGAATCTTTTAAGCAGAAAATACTATTTAAATTTCCCTCAATTCGACAATTAAAATATGTCATAGTCTGATTTGATTGTCCATACTTTAACAAACCCATAAAATTGGTATTTAATGCATTATTATTACATGTGTCAGGTGACAGTGACCATTTGCAGAAGCCAAAGGAAAAGCAGAAGCTCAGTAAATGCCATACCGCTTCTGAACCACCAAAACTGAACCATACGCTGAGGGTGAAAGGGACGTGCCAAAGAACGGTCTCCAGCAGGCAGAACACGCCAAAGAAAGTTGATGAGACTGTCAAAGACATGACGCAAACACAAGATTTAGATTCAGCCAAGTCGGATCACAAACCGATCCGCCCGACTCACGATCCAAGGATCGATCCGGTATACTAACCTGGATCAGATAAAACTGTATAAATATTTTTTGCCTTCCAACGAAGAAGGTGATCCAATCTTTTCTGCTATCTACGAACTCATACTATCTTTCTAGATACTTATGATCTTTAAGTCACGATATTTTTACATTTTCGGTCGTCATTCCGACTATCTCTACACTTTCTCTCTATGACATTTTCTAAACTGTTGAGCATTTTCACCCAAAAACTCTTATACTTCTTCTTTTTCCACTTCAAAAAGCCAATCACCACCTAAAAGCCCGAGTAGACTCCACCTTTCTCAGGAGTTCTCGGTCCACTTTCCTTCACTCGTTCTTTGATTTTTTTTTCCTTTTTCCGATTTGCCACTTAGTGGTCTTTTCCTTATTGTTTTCTGATTTGAGCGTCGGAGAGTTTTCGGAAAACACTATTTCATCGTGTTTTTCGAAACCATCACATGTTTACTAAGTTTTGCAAGAGACTTGCCCACAAAAGAACTGAAAATCCTCTAAACAATATCTGTATATATATATATATATATTCATATTAAAAATTCTTTAGTATATATAGATATTTTTAATATAAATATATAAAACAATAATCAGCTCAGTTTATCCATAAACTATATTTCAGGCAGAAAATACTTTTCATGGGTAAACTGAGCTTACTGATTATAGGTATATATATATTAAAGATATCCATATTAAAGAATTTCTAAACATGTATTAGTTTTACATGAATATATAACTCAGTAAACAAGATTAGGGTAGTCAAAATTATTAGTAAGAAGTTAATAACCTTAAATTCATGAATATCATTTTTCACAAATGGATTCATTTAAATTATTTAATATAGCATCGTCTAAACAAAGTTTGTTGTGTCCTTTCGCTATTATTTGTTACCAAACATTTATTTTTGGTCAAAGAAATTTGTTACCATAGTCTTCTAAAATCTCATAGTACACTCTCCAATACTAATACATTTTAAAATTTTCATAAATTTGATATATAATAATTTATAGATTAATTATATAGCTATGAAATTTCAAACTTTTGACAATATTAGCCGAGGTTGTACATATATATATACATATATAAATGATGTTCTATAATATAAGTTTAACAAATCTCGGTATTGTTTTGGTAATTTTGAAAATACGTTGTCCAATGCCAGAAAATATTTAACCATATCGATTCACAGTTGTTTTTTTTTTTTTGACGGCATCATCAAACTTTATTGACATATATGTTTATTATTTGAGTTTGGTATAGTTTCTGGATTATTGAC